AACATAAACTCGACTCGATTTAAACTCGACTCGGCTTATCTGACTCGTGAGTTGACTCGACTCGTCCGGAACTCTATGCGCATATAACTTTAATAACATATGGGTATTACTTTAAGCGTTTTTTTGAGTACTTTCAATTTGTTATAATTTGTAAAATAAGATACGCTTAATATAGATATAAAAGTTTATGTATAATAAAAATATACTTGAGAAAAAGAGAACAATCACAAATTATAAGCTAAAAAGAAACACATAATAAAAACGTGTCTAGATAAAAGAAAATGTACTTAACTGCTAATATATTTATATAAACTGAAATGTATAGGAAGCTAACATTAGAAAATGTCAGGAGAACATGAGAACATTAGAAACTAGAAGTAAGTAAATTCAGCATTTTAAATATAACAAATAATATAATCAGCAAAAGAATTTAACATCTTATAATATATTACATCTTATTAAAAAAAAGATTAGTACTATGCATTTCTAAACTCTTAGTCTAAATTTAGGATTAATTTACACAAATATGAATTATAAGTAATACAAAATTAACGTGATATTACTTATACTCAAATTGTAAGATTAAAAAAATTCTCTTATGATCTTTATGCAAACCAATATCTGAGTCATATCATAGATATTCGGGGTCTTGAACTTATTCCTTAAATTGTCTAACAGGCAAATTTGTCTGCAAATTCAAAAAAATATGTTATTTTTTTTAATAAAATATTAAATATTAATTATATAAAAAAAATAGTTTAATATATTTTTTATTAATTTTATTTAGAAAAAGTTTGTTTATAAATATTTTTTAAATAATTTAATTTTAAATTTAAGTTTAAAAAATTTATTATAATAATTTTTTAAAAAATTCTTTAAGATTTATATATTTGTAAATTAATTAAATCACTTTACTACTAATAAAAGTCATAAATTCCTTAGTAAATTATAAAAAGGTTAATAATTAAAGTTATTCTTTATGATAAATTTATAATATTCTATTATGATTAATAATTAAAAGTAAATGTTAATAAGATTGTCAAAGGTCAATAATAAAATTTTTTAATTTATAATTTTTTTAAAAATTACAAATTTTTAGCTTTAAAATAACTATAAATTATTTATTATACTGTATAATTAAAAAATAAAAATTACTATAATATAATATATATTTATAAAATTAATTTTAATTTTTATAAAAATAAATCAGAAGAAAATTTATAGTAAATAAGTAGGCAACTTTGTTTACAAACTCTACAATTTAAAGGATAATATAGTAAAATCAAAAGAATAATATAATAATATTTTTGCCAAAATATGATGATTGTAAATTTAAAAAAGTTATTAAAATGGATTCTGTTAATTTTTAAAATTTGTTTCATTATTAAATACTTTTCTAATTTTTAAAATAATAGTAATTATTTACAAACTCCTGCTGAATTGCAAATTGCAATTTTTTTGAAAAAAAAATTGATTCAAAGAAGACCTTTATTATTCAACCCAGCAAAAAGATAACAAAATCCAACAGTTTTATAAATTCTTTAAAAAATCCTTATAAATATGATTCTTGATTTTCAATCAAAGCTGCTTTTTTTGCATATTATAGAAAATTTTAGTTAAAAGCTTTAATTGTTCTCCAAAAATAAAATCTAATAAATATTAATAAATTAATATATATATTTAGAATAATACTTTTGTAATAAAAGAAATTCTAAAAAAATAAATTATATTATAATTATCTTGATTACTTTCTACTTCAGTTATCATAAATTGGCAAATTATTTAAAGGTAAACTTGAATATTATTTCGGTCTAGTTCAATAATATTGTTGTAATGCATTTTGACAAAGTTGGTCACCAACTTTTAAATAGTTATATATATTAAATGTTCCTTTTGTTTTAGCTATTTCGTATGCAAGCTTAGTAAAAGTATACAATTATTTATTTCACAGGGTCCACAATTTGGTAAACGCGGTATTTTTTAAAAATTTCGCGTTACATTTAAAAACGTCACGTGCTTTTATAATTTTGGTGATGATCAGCAACAAATTTCACCAATCACAGTAAATTTTTAAATTTTTACAAAAATTAAGGCGATGTTTATCGTTATCCCTCATGCTGATCGGTTTCAAGTTGAATTTTATTGGCTACAATTTCAGTATAACGCGATCAAAAAGCTGATCGACCACTAGCCTAATTATCGTTTAAACTCGTGGTATTTCCTGATATGGAAATATTAAACGCGAAGAGGTGATTATATAAATTAATCACTCACCCAACTCAAGAAGAAAACAATGCTGTCTGACATTAGTGAGCCTGGCCCGTGCTTCGAATATTTCCTGCACACTTCCTACCAAGACTGGGATTCAGTTCGGTATCATAAGTTTTGGAAAAATAGCGGTTTAGCTTTGGACAAATCGACATTAACAAGAAGTTTTCTCAAGCAAATACAACTTATACAAGCTCAAGGTTCTGAAATGGAGAATAAAAACGCGATACGTCTCGAAAATTAATTCAAGGTCAGTATAAACTAATAACTGTAGGTTATTAGGTCACATTCAGTAGCTACCCATGGAACTGCGTCTTCGCATGGTTATGGACTGCGTCTCCGCTACTACAGCTACCCATGGAACTGCGTCTTCGCATGGTTATGGACTGCGTCTCCGCTGTTGGCTACAGCTACCCATGGAACTGCGTCTTCGCATGGTTATGGACTGCGTCTCCGCTGTAGCCAGCTTGTGACCAATTTTTTAGTTTTTTGATGACCTTGATATGTTAACATATAAAATCTTTTTTAATCAGGTTGAATCTAAAAAGAATGGGCGTATTGACAGATTTTGGTTAAAGTCTTTGCCTGAGCAGAATCGCAAACTTTCGAAAGATGATAAGATAAACGCCGAAACCGTATTTGTATCCTGCGATTTGCAAATCGGCGGAACATCTTGTAATAATAGCGTACAACTCGGTGGTACCAGAAATGAGAATGAACAGCCGTATGAAAAACGTGTACAAGCGGGCGTTGTGAGACAAACTCTAGAAGAAATATATTCATCGGATTTATCTGAAGGAGTTTCTCCAGTCGGGAATACAGACGATATTATCAACGCCAGAACTTTTTCAAAAAGAGATTTGAATTGTGAAAAGGTATAAATGCGTATTGTTCAGCTATAACTGTTATTTGCGATTTGTTACTAATGATCTACATTACTTAAGAACGATGATGTAGTTACAAAACGGAGTAAAATCGAGGAAAAATCACAAGATCTACCTATTGAGGCCACCTCCGAAAAGAGCACTGAAGATGAATCACGTAATACTCCATCACCATTCATTTATATTAACTCAGATAGTGAAACTGATGAAGAGCATAAATTGGATGAGGATGATGACGGATTCTTTGATGATATGAAAGCGGTTTCATTCAATGATTATTTAAACCAAAATAAAGAATCCGAATGGAAATTAAGAGATGGTCGTCTAATCGTTGATATTGTTAACATTAAGACCGCTGAGTTAATAAAATTAGCTTCGGAGAGAGAGAAGAAAGAACGAACGCAATTTATGAAAAGTGTTATCCGGTATGTTCTTACTTTTCCGAAAATAGGTTATCAATAAAAAAAAAATTCTAACATGGTAAATACAGATTAGGGCTTTCATCAATTATCGATTTGTCTTCAGAGTTTGAAGATGGAATGTATACATGGTTTGAGCAGGAATGGACAGATATTAAAAGAAAGGTCTATGGAGTCGTTAATATGGAGCCGAACGTTTTCGAAGGAGAGATAACAAATGTTATTGATATTGTCGAAGAGGTTATTGTCTTCTGCGCATACATACATGTTACTCCATACTTATTTATGTCTATTTTAACCATTCTCAGATGTGCGATAAGTACAAATATAATGAAGTTCGCGACTATTTATTTAAGATTAGAACTGGCGATCATTCTCAAATAGTACAGCAAATAGCCACAGTATATTTCTACGTGTAAGTTATAAATTTTTTTTACAATTTATAATTGTGATTATCTACTGATACTGTAAATTTATTAAATTTATTGTTAGGATCGATGAATTTTTAAAAAATCCGTTCATATTTGTAGACAAAACAGGCAAATATCAGGAACTCAGCGAGATTGAATATGCAATGGCTATGACTACACCAATAATTAATAATGTATTCAGTGACACCTTTGATTATCTAAAACTTCGCTGGTAAGTTCATCACATTATTGTTATCAATGTTTGTACAAGCAATGACATTTGATTGAATACTTGTATATAGGGGAGAAACATTATCTAATCCCATGTCTGATCGTCGTCGAAAAATCGATTTGAGAATTGTTCATAAGGCCAAAAAATTTGAACTCAGCCATTCCGAATGCGCCAAAGCTCCTACTCCTGGAAAAGCTGTGCAAGATCGTTCTAAATGTTTACGAACATTGAAGGGTGTTCTTGATAATTTGTTAAAAGAAGATTTATCGGATGAAGAAGTTCAGGACTCAAAAATATTAGGCATACAGTTTGCTGGTAAGATATATTGAACTAGTTAACAAATTAATTAATAATTAACGTTTTGTTTATTACATAAGGCTTGGATGGCCAGATAATAGGGATAGAACTACTTGATGATGGACTGTATTTCGGATTAGAGGGACCAACTTTTAGTTTTCCAGCGCAACTAATAAATATAAAATGTCTTCGTGGAGCTTTGGAGGCCTTATATTTCTTCAAAGTAAGATACTGGCACCCTGTTATTGTTTTTAATTTATACTAATTTGCCTTTTTATTTTCTATACTTTTAGCAAGAAATTGTTAAAAAAATGATGCTAATACCTGATCCAAAAAAGGTGAATCACCCATATAATCAGATATTTCACTCAAATTCGGGTACTTTAATAAAAGCAAAACATTTCAAAACTAAATTTATTCGAGAAACGCATTTCACCAAAAAAAAGACAAGAAAGAAACAGTCATACTCAAGGATCTAATGTTAACTGAAGAATCAAATGCTGATACGCATTCCTTTAGGCAAAGGTCTTGGGCTTGACTACAAAAAAAAAAATATATTAACGCTATATATAATGCATTAGATACTATATAAATATGCTCTAAATCGCATTTTTTATCTTTGCTCAACCCCTAATATATATTGCAAAAATGAATCCTGTATTTTTTAATTATATAACACAAACTAGAAATATGCTTTATCATAATAAACTAATGAACTTAACTAATTAGTCCGGAGTGTATGACGTTATGACACACAACCTTAGTAGCAATTCATATACCGTAGAGCACTGACTAAACTACCCCGGGTTTTTTACAAATCCACCCCCAATTTTGTAAAGTACCCGGGTAGTTTAATTAGGGGTATTTTGATAGGAGGGGGGTTTTTTAATCGGAATATATGTAATATGTAGATCAATATATATAATATACTGTATATTATAAGTACCATTAAATTTTTCGCGTATTTTT